GATCTACACATGGGGAATTGAACTAAGGCATGGGAAGATATAAAAAATATATATGTAAGAGGTAGAATCAATAAGTGTCATATACTAATGGGTTATAAGAATAGAACAGAGGAGTCTCATGTGTTCTAGCTTTCTATCTTGGGTTGAAGTGGGTGGATCTTTGGTACTCACAACAACCCAATGTCCAATAGGCAGGAGCAATTTGTAAGCTAGGAGTTTGGACAGAGGTCTAGAAAGGAGGTATGCATAAGGCACTCATTAGCTAATAGCTGTTGGTTGAAGCCATAGGGAAGGAGGAGTGGTGGATGAAAATTTTGGGAAAGACAACTCCAACAGAGAAGAACACAAAAGTCCTTTAATTAAAGCAGAGAGTAGGGTCTGTAAAAGTGAATGATAATGAATACCCAGGATCAAAGAAAAATGGCAAAAATAGTCAGGTCATGCATACCAAATAAAAAACACTTTTGAAGACTTATGAAATGATGAAGAGTCAAATACCACAAGGAGGTCAAATGTGATAAGATATAAGTATTGAAGCATTATTTACAATGTCTAAGAAAATAGAAATAACCTATGTTCATCAGGTACTGATGAATAGATAAAGAAATTGTTGGTATATATTCACAATGAACTATTTCTCAGCCATAAAAAAGGTAAAACATGTCATTTCTACAACATGGTTGGGTCTGTAGGTCATTTGGTGAAAGGAAGTTAACCAAGCAGAGAAAGACAAGTGCACATGATCTCACTCATGTGGGGTCTAAATAGAGCTGATTTCATAGACATTCAAGGAACACTGGTGATTACCTATGGCTGAGAAGGAAAGAGGGTAGAGAGTGATGGGGAAAGGGTGGTTATCAGGTACTAAGTAATAGCTAAATTGTTGCTAGTAAGAGGTTCTGGAGTTCTATGGCATAGTACGGTGACTATAATGTTAAGGTACTGCATATTTCTCCATTAAAAAAACAGTAAGATTTTGGATGTTTTTCCATTAAAAAGTTGTTAAATAAGGAGATAGATATATTTTCTCTAACTGGACATTATACAATGAATACAAATATTATTTCTTTAAATTTAAAAATTTTTTTTAATTTTTAAAAATTTTTTTAATGAATACAAATATTATAACATTACATAGTACTTCAAAGATATATACAATTTTTATATGATTTAATTTTAATAGGAGTTTAAAAATATAATTAAGAGTGTTTTGGTGATCCTTCAGGAAAATAATTTCAATGGAGCATTACTGTAAAATTCAGATCACTGATTGATGAATGTTTCAGTCTTAGGGATGAAAAAGAAAACAGGACAAGAACACTAAATCTTCAAGGTTAACAGTGAATGTTTCAGGTTACCTTTGATCTCATGCCTATCCAATACCACAGCTCATGCTTTCAACTCTTACAAATGGAATTTGAAAAGCTCACTTAACTAAGATGCTGATTCAGATATAATTTTGATTTCTGTATTGCTGATGCAGTATAAAATAGGAAGTATATTGAAATCACAGTATCATCTTCAGAGAGGAAGGTGTAGATGATTTTGATCCAAGATTCTTTTGCAATGGAAATTGATGAGGTCAATGCAACCCAGACAAGGTTTACTGAGGGTTTATGCTTGAATACAGGGAGGCAGCATGGCAAAAGAGATTCTTCTGACTTGTTCCCCAGTGGGAGCTAGCGAGGGGTTTTCATTGGGTTGGGGAGGCTGATTGTGCCTCTGGGTCTCTGGCTTTTCTGCCTCCTCACAGGACACCTTGATTTGTAATAGACCTGTTGTGCTGTACAGGTGCTGATTTGTTGTTGTTGTTTCTACTATTTTTTGTATGGCACGGTTGCTCACTAATGTCTCCCCAGAAAGGACACCATTGATTACACTGGGCTGCTCTGCTCATGCATATAGTTTGGGGAAGCCCGTAATTGAGGAGTAGAAATCTTATATTGCTACATTCTGGGAACCCCTTGCTCCTGACTGGTTTGGAGCTGGAGGTGGACACATAATCAGATTGGGAAAGTTTGATTTAGTGAGCCCTGTTTCTGTCCTGTATCAGAGAGAGGTGATTAGTGTTTTATTATGTTTTCAGAGAAAGGATTCTCTTTTTCTTTCCCTCTCTTCCCCCTTTTCTCCTCTTGAGTTGACTGTACTGATAATATTGGCAATCATGAATTAAATTTGACAATGAATTACAAAATACTCATATTATCATTGTCTTATTTTCAAAATAGTGTTAGTTTGCTTTTAGAACATAGAGTGTATCAATCTGGGGAAGTTCTTTCTAAAACTATAATGTTTAAGTTGACAGAATGTTTTTCTATCTTGTAAAACTTACTTAGGAAGATTAAAAACAACATGTTTAATAGCCGTATCTATTTACCTGATGCTTAGTTAGCATTCAGTACTTGAAATATAATGTCCAGACAAGCCAACAACAGAGTTAAATGTTTTTAGAAGATTTATCTTATGGTTTTTTCTTTAATAAACATACAAGTTTATGTTACCCCAAATGCTGTCATAGAACATTATCTCAAAATAAGTTCTTTAGCAAATTAAATTAAAAACATGTAGAAACCTGAAGAAACATTTACTCATGAGCCAAGGTGTCTGCAAACTTTTATAGGAAGTCTTAACTTTCCTTCATTTCAGACAAAGAAATTTTGTCTGAAATGAAGGAAAGTAATTGGCATCATTTGAATCCATCATTCACTAAGCTTCACCATTAAGAATCCATCATTCACTAAGTTTCACCATTTTTGCACAAAGGAATCTTTCTTGGCAAGTACTGATTTTCTAATCTGGAATGGCTGCTGACATATTTTCATGTAGATGTGTTATTTTTAATAGTGAAGATCCCTCCCATTTGGGACTCAGCACATTAATTTTGGAGTACATACAAAAATCAAGAGTACATACAGTCAGCATTATTAAACATAAAACTTGACATTGCCCTACTTTGGTTGCAATTTTTGATAGTGTAATTCAGTATTATTTGTCCCTCTTACATTTCTATAGCAACTAGTTCTGAGGAAGTTATGTTGTTTGGTAGAAATTCTCTGGTAGAACAGAAAAGAATCATTTGCAATTTTTATTATTTGTCTTGTGCCAATGAGAAATTGAGAAATGAACTGACTTGTATGCAGAACCATAAACATGACTGTACCCTCCACATACACATGTGTGCACACACAAGTTTGCATGTCCAGTTTTACAGACATTAAGTACCATCTGACTACTCATATCCCTTAAAATGGGTAGCAGTTCATAGATAATCTGTTAAAAATTAGTGAGAAGGAAATAATTTACAAAAAAAGAAGAAACACCTAGCCTCTCCTGAAAAATCTGTTAGGTCATACATGTGGATTTGGTAAATACTATGTAGAAAATGTGGCTATAACTTAAAAAGAGGCAGGTTAACAGAATGTATTCCACATTCTAAGAAAGATTACTTGCAATGCACACTGCCACACAGGAAATTTAAAGAAAGCAAACAAACAAACAAACAAAACCTCAGTTTATGACAAAGTACACAAGCAACAGTTTATTTTTGTTACCAAACACTACTTTAGCTATCATAAAATATTTTTATTTGGTTACTCTTATCAAGATTTAAATTTATCATATTATAACAATAATTCAGAAGATCCCAGGCTTTCTGCCTGGGTTATTATGTATCTGAAGAGATAGATTTCTGCTGAATATTTTTCAGAAGTTGATTGTATTTTGGAAGGACTGTTAGAACTTCTGAGTCTCTTCTCAAATGTCAAGATTATTTGACATCTTTTATAAAGACATTGAAAATGGAAAACTTAGGTATTGATTTTAAGCTATACATTTCTGAAATTCTTAAACAATAAGCTGTTAGTTTTCCATGTAGCAGAATCAGTCAGACTAAACTTTAGGTTTTGAGCATTAGAATATTTGCTGTCCTGTATGGTCATTGTTATATACAGTTAAATGAAATAATTCTTTTGTTAATTTTACAGTACTCATTTTATTCATTCATTGAACAAGATTGAATTGATTATTTACTGTGTGACAAAGTTTTATACCTATATCCTTGGATACAACATAAAGGGTTAGCAACTCAATATTTTCTGAAACTTCAGGACTGGTTTTTACAGGTACTTTGAAAGAAGATCATTGGGCACATATACTAAGCGAAAAAAAAAACAAGACAAAAACTGTACACCAATGAATTACAAAACTACTATTTAACTAGGTTGGGACCAAAGGTCATTTGAGCTATTGGCCACAACTGTCTCAAAAGAACTTAGAATGTCAAGCTGACCTCTCAATGCTGAGTAGGTGACTAGCAGGGTTCAGCAGTTTGTTCTTGATGCACATCCAAACATTTGGGCATTTGTCCAATATTTTTAGCTAGGGCTTTTTCTTCTATTAATGTAGTTTAGCAAAGTGTAAAGTGTGGTTTGCAATAGAACATTCGTGGTTCTGTTATTACTGTATTTTGCAAATGAAAACAGCCTGTATGTCAATGGATATATTATTTTCCATTAAGTTTATATGGGGTTAAAGTAGCATGACATTCATTCTTGTATTCTGTGTTGTGAATTGAGAACTGCAGAGAGAGGGAGAGAGAATAGAGGGAGAGAGGGAGAGAGAGAGAAAAATTAAGATCATTACTTGTGAAACATTTTGTGAAAGAAAAGTGGATGATGTAATCGGGACTGGAGTGGCTAGGAAAGAGTGCAAGGAGGACGTATCTGGGAAGGGAACATGTAAACTGAGAACTGAAGGATGAGAAATCACTGGAAGGAGTCTTCTAGGCAAGGAGAACAGGATGTATAGGAATACAAGGTTAAAGGAACCTGCTGGTTTGGAAAAGGAAGGAGGATAGCTTAAACTCCCCTAGAAAGGTTCATTCCAACTTAGATTCGTGCTCCAGAGAAGTGCCCTGTTAGCTGGATATCCTGTAGCAGCATAGCTACAATAACTGTCCATCCCCCAGTCCCTCTGAACAAGTAGGTGTATTTCTGACTCACTCTAGATGTCTGCTGTGGTTGGCGCAGCTCCGCTCTGCATCCTCCTCACTCCTAGACCCGAGACGATGAAGCCAGTATGTGGAACACAGCAGTTTGGGTGACAGAGCAAAAGAAAAAGCATGGCCGACTGAATCCTGGCTCTTAAAGCTCCCACCCACGTCACTTCCACTCCCCATTTCATTGGTCAGAGCGGTGACTTATCCCAAGGCAGCAAGGAATGTGATCACTTCATGTGCCCTGAAGAGGGGCGGAACTGGAAATACTGACAAGCGGCTGTGATATCTCCAATAGGGGCTCAGTGAGCAACCTGGCCTTGTATGTACAAGTATTTGTGTGGTATGTGCGTGTCTCTGGAGAGAAGTTCACGTTCTCTAATCAGATTCTCAAGGGAGCTGTAACACAACAATGATTAAAAACTGCTGGACCAGTTGAAAACTGTCATGTAAACAGATAATTGCTGTACAAGGCAATTTGCAGCATGAATGAGAGGCTGAAATGATTAAAGAATTATGTTTCTGTGCGTGTGTGCGCCTGATGATAAGGAAAAAGTTGTGCAAGTGTGTAGACCAAAGATAGGAGCCCAAATGCAGAGTGTGAAAGATTAGAGGGGAATTACTGATGTCATGGGGGTCCCAAAAGATGCCTGAGAGATGGGGCCCAGTATTCTATAGAATATTTTACTTCCAAAATTAAAAGATGTGACTCTACATCACTTAGTAGAAGAGGAGGCAGAAGGCAGATGGCAGATGTTCTCATGGCTTAGTCTGGATGGAGGGGATGGAGAGGAACTCTATTTGTGTTGTATGAGGAAGGTCATTTGCTTAGAATGAGGGGATTGTAGAGTATGCTAATAGTTTGGAACAGCTGTACGGGAAATCTGAAATGGAGCTGAGTGGGGACAAATAAAAGGACTGCCAGTAGCACATAGTCCAGTTGATGCTGGAGATCATGGATTTGTCAGATTGCCAGTAAGCAGAGTAATGTGATTTTCCTCTGTCCATGCTCAGCTGCCTGGAATCAGGGGCTGAGAAAGTTAATGGTTGGGCTGATCCAGGGCTGGGGATTGACAGGGCAGGTGTGCAACATGTTTTACTGATAACCTGAGTCTCTGAACAGGCAAAAACAAAGAACTAATCTCATTTTTAAGTTTTGAAAGTTAGTTGATCAGAAATGGTGAGAAAATGTTTCTCTCTCTCTCTTCGTATATATGGCTATAACTTATACTTGTACTTTGTTATAGTTCTTGCTTGCTGTAAAACTTCTCTTTGTTTTGAGCTCAGAACTGACCAGAACAATATAACTATGGTTAAGGATAAATTAACACAGCTTAATTTTTTTTTCTAAAGAAACTTTGTTTAATGTATACAAACAAGTACAACTTTAGGAATATAGTTATCATAGCTTACTTCTTATTGACTAACTAAAACTATTCTTCAGCCATGTGAGATTTTTCTATGTTCCTAATACTCCTTTATGCCACTAAAAATCTAGCAGAAGAAAGGTAAGAGAAAAGAAAAAAAATCTCTAAAAATATAATTACATACTCAGGCAGAATTGCTTAGCTAAGCATCTTGTTATTAATTAATATGTTGTAAATTTTGCTGCTTTGGCTGAGAGTAAGATGCTGTGTTTAGAGGAGCCATTAAACAAAGACAAAAGGAAAACATCTGGAGCAGCTTAGCTTCAGTACAGACTGCAGGCTGAAATCACACTCAATGACATTTCTCTTTCCCCAAGTGCCTGCCAAATCCCTGAGATTCCCCGATTTCCATGAGGTTACATCACAAGCATTTGATAAAAATGGTGTTGCTCTTCATAAAGGCTATACATGCATACCAATGGCACACACAGTCCTGATAGGAATTCTGGTTTACTGAGCAATGTTTCTTGAAATCTGTCATTTTATTTTCTATGTCTTCAGAATGAAAGTCTCACCTCCTAAGTGTGTATTGATGACTGGCAGGTGAGGGAGAGCAAGCCAAGTCTGATCCTTTAGAATTATGTTTGAAGCAGAAATTAAATGTGGCTCTTCACAGCCTCCCTCAACAGGAAGCAGTTAGCAGTAGGCAAGCAAGTTCAAATTTTAAAGGGAGACTGTTGCTGCAAATGGCTCTCCCCCAGAAGACCCTCTCAGAATTTCAGTGGTGGGTAACTAGCAGGTTTCAACTCCAGGAACTAAGATAATTTTCTCTTCGCTTCTGGCCTGCCAAGTTGTACACTGTCTTCAGCGGAGGCAGTGCTGCCAGAATGAATAACTGGAGAATCTACTCAACTCTATTTATTTTAGAGTATGATAATTTGAGGGAAAATTAAAATTGTCAGTTTTGCATTACACCCTAAAGCTCTCAGTGCTGGTTATCTCGTCAGACCTAAAAAAACACGCTTCTTCAGAGAACTGTGTAAACAGATGGAGAAGCCAAGGAAAGAGGGGACTTGCTAAGGGCCACACAGTGTGCTCAAGGCAGGCTGGGCACCTGAGTGTCCTGACTGAGCTGACGTGAGGTCTTCCACTCTAGGTCCAGGACAGGGCAACATATGCATGCTGAGATCTTGGGGTTAACACTGAGCAGTCTGGTTACTCAAAGGGCAAGGACAATATATTTTCAAGGTCCAACTTCTGACCTGTAATGAGCTGTGCCAGAGGCCTGGAGACTTTAAGGGCAAGGTCTCTGTTGGTTCAGCCTTGCAAACTTGGCCCTGAGCCCAGGTCTGGGCACAGAAGTATCAGTGGGAACTCAATCAGTGTGCAATAAATTATGATGCTTTATAAAACATGCCATATAATCTTGTTTCTCGGCTTGCCATGCTGCGATAGCTTTTCTTTTCAATCATAGTAGAAGACAGAACCCTGACAGATCTGGTGCTTGCTGCCTGTTTTGATGCATTTGCTTCTCTCCCTTCCTCATGCTTTCCAATTTTGTTTTTGTCCACAGGAAGGGATCCTTTTTTTTTTTTTATTAAGACTTATTTATTTACTTGAGATAGTTACAGAGAGAGGGAGACACACACACACACACACACAGAAAGGGAGGGAAGGAGAGAGGGAGAGAGGGAGAGAGAATCTTCCATCAGCTGGTTTACTCACCAGATGACCACAAGGGCTGGGACTGGGGCCAGGCCAAAGCTAGGAGCCAGAAGCTTCATCTAGGTCTCCCATGTGGGTGGCAGAGGCTTGCCAAGCACTTGGGCCATCTTCTGCTGCTTTTCCCAGACCATAAGCTGGAAGCTGGATCAGAAGTGGAGGAGCTGGGACTTGAACAGATGCCTATATGGGATACTGGAATTGCATGCAGTAGCTCTATCCACCTCACAACATTGCTAGCCCCAGGAGAAGCTCCTTTTGTACTGGCTATTCTTTATACCTAGTCTCTTGTTCCACATGCTGAAAAAGGAGAATTCCTTACATTCTTCAGTATTTGACTAAAAAGTCATATTCATACTGCCCTTTTAAAAATCATCTCCTTTTCCCACTCATTTGCCCGCATTCCTTGTCCCTTTAAGCTTGCTCTTTTTCTCATAATACTCACCTTCCTCTAACTTATTAGCTAATGCATCTCTTTATAATATTGATGTTTTATTGTCTGTCTCCCCCCTTGCTAGCATGTAATCCTACAAGGGAGTGGATATTCATTGTCTTTATTCACTGATACTCCTAATGTTTCAGCCAGTGTCTGACCATAGAAGACACTTTGCAGATAACTGTGGAATGAGTCAATGAATAAAGCTGGATTAGTGAAGCCAGTGAGTGAAAGGAATGTCGTCATCATTATCATCATCTTCTTTTTTTAATCTGAACCTTTTTTTTTTAAAGATTTTATTTATTTGTTTGATAGGCAGATTTGCAGACAGAGGGAGAGAGGGAGAGAGGCCTTCCATCCACTGGATCACTCCCCAAATGGTAGAAACAGCCAGAGCTTGGCCGATCCAAAGCCAGGTGCCAGGAGCTTTTTCCAGGTCTTCCAGATGGGTACAGGGCCGCAAGCACTTGGGCCATCTTTTTTGCTTTCCCAGGCAATAAGCAGAGAGCTGGACCAGAAAAAGGACTAGCACTCATATGGGATGCTGTCACTGCAGACAGGCTTAGCCTACTATGCCACAGCACAGCACTTCACCTTCTTTTTTAAAAGATTTATTTACTTGAAAGTCAGAACTACAGAGAGAGAGGGAAAGACAGAGAGAAATAGATCTTCCCTTTGCTGTATCACTCCCCAGATGGCTGCAATGGCCAGCACTAGGCCAGGCTAAAGCCAGGAACCAGGGGCTTCATCGAGGTCTTCCATGTGGGTGATAGGGGCCCAAACACTTAGGCCGTCTTCCACTGCTTTTACCAGGCCACTTATTGGGTAGCTGGATTGGAAGTAGAGCAGCTGGGACTCAAATTAGTGACCCTAAAGGATGCCAGCATTGTAGGCAGTGGCTTTACCTGCTATGCCAGCCCCAGGAATGTCTTCTTAAAGCCAGGGCCAACGCACATGAGGTGTCAATTGTGGCCAATTTATAGAGGTAGATATCAATTTTCATTTTCAGAAGTCCTTATAATTCATGAACTTGGTCAACTTCCAGAATCAAGGCTACAGACTTTTCAACTTATTAACTGTCAAACCTTTTGATTAACAATGTGTAGTTCAATCACTGATGAATTAAAAGAGGACATGTGGATCAGGATTTCTGAAAGTGTATATGAACTTCCCAGCATTAGGAGTGCTTGTTAAGTGTTCTAGTTCCTGAGTCCCAACCAGTTTACTGAATATAGATAAGGATTAGATACCTTGGTGATTTGAATGCATTATAAGATGTAAGAATTACTAGTATATAGCAATGATGGAATTGTAGTAGAACAAGATTTCCTCTACTATAGTATAATTATTCCCCAGGATGTTGATAAGATTGTAGTTTAAACAAAGTGTTCCTTGAATCAATCAATTAGGGCAATGCTGAGGGAATGGATTTTTTTTTCAACAGTATTTCTTGTAACCTTCAGTAAGCTGATATCATGGTGATGTCATCATTCTCAAGAATAGGTTGTAGTACAGTGCATCCCAGATTCATTCCATACCAAACATCTCTTTTTAGGTACCTCCTCCTACCTTTGGGGGAGAGGTGTTTTATTTTTCCTCAAAGGAAAAGTCTGGGAATTCCTGTTATACATAATATCTAATATTTATTCCTGATTTGAGCACTCCATAATTGTATTTTCTCTGGTTAATTCCCCTTAGTTTATAATCTAATTGAGGCTTTTTACATTCCTGAGAAGAAAGTATAAAATAGTT